AATCAGTTGGAGCAATCAAATGGGTTGACTACTGACTGGACTGGACCCACTAAAGCCCAACTATATTTGATAAAAGACAAGCCCAGGTGTTTTGATTTGTCATCAAATAAGGCCAAATCGAGCTAATTATAGATAAACAACTTAAGTGAATATTTCCTTGTCTTACTCCTCTCAATGATATATAATCTCTCTCTCTCAATTAATCAATTTTGAGAAAAAGAATTTCACCAACCGATCCATAGATTAGGAACTTGTTTAATGATGTACAGTACATTGTATGTAGCAACAAATTTGAAGGATGGGTACGCCCTGTTTAAGTGAACTTGTTTAACTGTTTGACCCGATCCAACATCCCGACTCAACCCGTTTGTATCCTTGTTATTCAGGTTTGTAATCGTACTTGTAAGTTATAAATGTCAGTTGAGGTTCAGGTACGCCCTGAAACCGTTTTGACCCGACTGACAGAACCCATTATTGAAGAATCATCTGTCTTAACACGTCCAACATAGTTTCACATGCTTGAGTTGACAACCTGATAAATGGCCTGAAATAACGAGTCAGGGAGCCATGTTGGGTCGGCATCTTCAAACTGGCCCGACCCAAACCTCAATGACCTGACCTGACTCGTTCAAACTGTAATTTAGACTCACTCCTGTCTGCTCCTGACATCTTCTACTCTTATTACCAGAATTCACTCAACTCGGGGACAACCATACAAGTCATAAATTAACCACCACATTTGTCATGCGATTTACATGTACGTCCATAGCGTAGCTATTGGGATTTGAATTGAGAGGCCGAGGCGTTACCTCTCATTCAAGGGAAAATGGGTCTAATTTATGGGCCGATCAAAATTTAAACTGACCCGAAGCCATGAGCCTACATCTAGACGGACCCGATTTGATATTGGGTTCAAGCAATTAATGGTTGTATTATGTGGTAATAAGTCCAAGAAACGGATCCAATAACTGTGTTTGTTCCAAATCTGTTATATCCCAGAAGATGAATTAAAGTTGAATGTATATATATATATTATGTAACACAAATGGTTTAGTAGTTAATGTAGTGCTTAAAACGCAAAGTATTGAAGAAAATCCTTTAAGCAACTAATAGCCTGATACTGCTTTTTCTTAATTAGATGAGGATAATCCTATATAAAGTAGAAGAATAAGATGGAGATTCCTTATCAGCCCACTTACACTTTTGGGCTTTTCATTGATAAGACTGATTACTTTGGTCTTTTCAAAACCCTCTCTCTCTCTCCATACAGGCCCAGGACTGGTACGCAACTAGGCCACAGCCATGCTATCCAGTGAAGCCCAAGTACGCCTCAACTTTTGGGTCATGGTGTCCACTTGCAAAGGGTAGGTTAAAGGCAAATGTTGCAAAAAGGTATGGTTTTCTTTTGGGAATAGCTCAGGTGTATATATGGTTGTGGCTGGAGGATGTGGTTCTGGTACTGTAAGCTCGGCTCACAGGCTAAGATCAAAAAGTGTTTGCTCAAAAAGAAGAGAAATTGATTACAAAATTATCATTTGTAGTATAAATCATGATTTTCAAACAGTCTTGACCTAGACGATCAGACCATTTAACCTAAAAGCCAGTCAGGCAGTAACCAGTTCCGTTTCACCCTGAACCGCTTTTTTGGCCCAAAAAGGAAAAAAAAAATCATTGATTTGATCAACAACCCGCTGAACTGGATGGTTGAATCATCAACCCATTTGACCCAAATAATAGTTTTTGGTCATTTTATGTTTTTTAATTGCAATGGACTGTCTGTTTGGACTTAATGAAAAACCAGTGGCCAAAGCGGTTTCAAATATGATTAAACGTACAGTAGAGATGTCAAGAGACTAGCGGATCAAATTTGTATATATCTCAACAGACAAAGAAATCAAGCGGGCTCACCAATGTTCTTCAAGAGGCGTTGGCTTTGGCTTTGTCTTTTCTAATTGTTTATCAACCAAAAGGAAAGTGATCAAAGAAAATAAACCGGAGTAGCTAAGAAATGACGGCCTGTAAAAGTTCAATTTGGCTCCAAACTCATTATAGATTGAAGATGGTTTCCATTTGCTTCTCCAACTAATCGAGACAGAAGAAAAGTGTTCATAGGTGCCGGATATGAAAATCTGGGAACTCATATTACCGGCTTCAATCAAACACCAAAACTGGAAGCCATAACCAAATAAATAGACTGTCAAAGCTATTGTTAAACCCAAGGTTATAATTAAGCAAAGGAAGAGCATTAATTAGGACAGGGTTATTAGTAAGAAATCGGAACTCATATAAAAGACACACTTGGTGAGAATAAGTACATAAATCATTTTATTGACATGTCTGTCTCGAAATTGTATTTCAAGTGGGTGGGGAGTTATTTAAAGCTGCATCAATATGATCATTATTTGGTTAGTTAGGTAATGTTAAAATGGAGTAGTATTATGATATTTGTAAAACTTTATTTTGAGAAGTTGGATTTCGTTTGTGTTAATGTTGAAGTTTTAACTATACGTCTGAAAATTAAAGTGATAACAGTATAATATGGTTATAAGCAGTCATTCATAGAATATATGTAGGAAAATACAAAAGCGGATATGTTGGCCATGTTTGGAATCAATGCCATTTACTGATGGGTGTTTTCTGAGAAAATGGTGCTATATTGGCATGATGTTTTCTTTTTCTTTTTTGGTTTGTTTGGGACCATTACTGGTTGCTGTGACATAAACACTTTTCAATGCCAACACACTGTTTCTAGCAGCAGTAAAACAATGAGAAAACACCAGGTCATACCTGATTTTTAAGAAAACGATATCGGTTCCAAACACCATAATGGTGTTGTTTTGGGATGCCAGATCTGCAAAAAATGAGTTTTTCTACTTTCAAGATATCAAAATTCAAATTACCCCTGTTCATCAAAGTGGGGGGGCAAGTACAAATGGTCTAACACTCTGATATACAATTTCAATATTACCCCTGGAAATTGGAAATGAGAGTGGGGCCAAATAACAAATGCGTTTTTGCCCCATTCTCACCCCTGCAAAGTTGCAAATGCTGGGTCGTCCGATTGGACGAACACCCTTACCAGATATTAGCATCGGCGAACAGAAGTGTCTCTTCTCCGTTGAACAAATGTTTATTTATTTATTTCTTTTTGTACTAAAAAATGAACAAGAGGAAAGTATCAGTACTTTTCTATTCATCATAGTTGATGTGGGATGGACCTCGAAAAAAATAGAAATAAGATAAAAATAACCTAGGAATTAGCACCTCAACTTCTCTATTTATTATAAAACAGGAAAAAAAGTTCTTTGAGCTACACTTAAAGGTAAGCAAGTTAGACTGCTTTTCTATTCATCAGAGTTGAATAGATCAACTCCTTTGAGCTACACTTAAAAAACACAAATATCTTGTTCACCACTCCAATGCAACATCTACTAATTCACATAGCTACTCTTGGAATTCCAACTCAAACAAACCAACCTTTTCTCAGAATTTAAAGGTAAACAAAATGAAGTGATTGAAACTGTTACATAGAAATAACTGAAAGTTCTGGAAACAGAAATCATTTAGGCTATGCTTGGTTTGAAGGAAAAGGAAGGGAAATGTAAGGAAACCTTGTATGGGTTTCTCTTTCTTTCCCTTCCTTTCCCTGCCTTTTCCTTCAAACCAAACATAACCTTAGAGAACTATCTTTTAAGATAGGCAAGTAAGATTTTGAGGATTATTTCTATCAACTATCACCCCCAACAAAGATGGCCATGCCAACAATTATATCCAAGTAAGATTCACCTCTCTCAAGTGTTGATTCTGTCAATTTGAGTACAACTTTTCTCTTTGAATATTTATTAAAATATGCTAGCATTTATTGTTAATTAATGAAACTAACTAGATATACCCAAACCCATCTGAAACTACTTAATCTTAGGTCCAATTAGCTATCAATTCCTTGTAAGAGTTCATCAGTTTTTTTTTAACATTTTTTTTTTTGCAAATTCCAAATAGTCTGAAACATTTCTTTCTAGGTGGATTTCTTGCCCCAATTCTGTTTTCAATTCAATGAAACCCTGATACAAGTAATAAAATGTATGGAATAAGTAGACTTTCAGATTAGTGATTTTAAGTAGAAAGCCAGGTATATTCTATCCTATTTAGCATATATATGAAAAACACTGTTATATTTTTTTATATGATACATTAATGCTGTCTTTATAATTTACAAATTTTCTTAATTTAGACTCCCCAAGGAATTCACTATTCATTTGTATCTCCCCATAAATTTCCTACTATATTCTATTATTTCTTATATCTATTGCAGCAAGATTTGATTATTTCTTTTTCTTTTTTTTTTAAAAAAATTTGTGTAGTATGAATTCATATTGTCTAAAATATTTGCACCTTCATTTATATTTCATTGTGATTATACCATCATTTTAAAACTTGCAGTTGACATCTTAGGCTGCATGTAAATGAAGCTAACTAGATATGCTCAAACCCATATGAAACTACTCAATATTAGGTCCAATCAACTGTCAATTCCTTGTAGGAACTTTATTAGTACTTCTCTTTCATTTTAGCACAAAGTGATTGTTTAAGAAAATTTTACATTATGTTTTCAGCCTCCATCTTCCTTGCATAGATTTTTGCTAAGAAAACCGGAAAAGATACCCAATACTGATCTCTGCCCGATGCAACCCTTTAACCTATCTAAAATTTGAATTGTTCACATACATATATTTGCTTATTATTGTACTTTGCACAGATAGGTTCAATTGTTTACGAGGAATAGTCTACACTATACAAACTCTTTAAGTTGCAAGTATAGATATTAACCTGAGTTTGTCGTTCGTAGCAAAAAGCCAAAAAGTGGATTGACCTGTGGAGGTCGGGTTGGATGATGGGCCGTGTAAAAGTGCATCCTAGCTGGGCTTGGGCCAATAAACTCAAATTTTGATCATCCGCTATAACAGCGGTCAGCGGGTAGGAAAGTTGACATTTACGAGATGGACCCTTGTTTCTTTTAGGGCGCGATGGGAGGCGGGGATATCTCCTCCACCAGGTTGAAGAGAGAGGAGTGCAAGCGCACTAAACACGATTCTGTTTTCTCAAATTGGCAGGTTTGATTTGAGTCTTCGATGATCTCTCTCTCTCTCTCTCTCTCTCTCTCTCTCTCTCCAGCTCATTTTTTTCCCTTTTTGTTATATTTTTTTGGAGAAATAGGACATTTGGCGTTTATGTTACCACCCAGATCACGAATTGCTCGATCTTACCATCTCATAAATTACGCCCAACTATCGTCTTTTTCCCGATTGATTGTTTTATGTATATTTCGCAGATATCAGCAGCACTTTTGTCGTCCGACTAAAATTTTTCTCTTATTATCCACTTCATTTTTTGTTATCATCATTGAATCTTTTTCTGGGTGTCTCGTTCTATAATTTGCTCTTGGCCTGTTTAAATGCGCAATTTTGTTTTCTCGAGAAAATACGTTAGCAGAAAAATGCATATTTTACTGGCTTGCAATGGGGAAGCCCGAGAATCAGTGATCAAATAACCAGAACACACCTTGACAAGTCCCTTGCTAAATCCCCCATTTGTTCCTCGGCTTCAGAGAGCTTCTCATATGAGTTTTCCACGTAGAATTTGAGTTCTGTTTTGTTTGATGCTTTTGGAAGCCTTGGCGGATTTTTGCACCCATTGACATGCTGGTTCCGTCGATATTAGTTACCTATTTTCTGCGCTTCTAATTACATGGGATGAAGGCAACCTCTGAAAGTTGCGTCCTAATGGCATTACAGTCACAACTTTTTGGGCAAAATACTCATTAGATCCCGCACTTACAAATTTGTTCGTTGACGTCTTTGTAGTTAACTATTTGGCATTTTCAAACTACTCAGTAGATTTTAGAACTCTGGTTTGGTGTCTTTTTCTTCCGGAAAGCAGATATAATCATATAACATGTTAGTTAATTATAGTCTTTTATTAAATAAATATTGGGCACTTATATTAATTTTAATTTGAACTGATAAAAAAATCTGATTTTCCATTCTTTTTTTTTTCAGATTCTCATTGGGCCTTCTGATTGGGAAAACCATTCCTCAGGGAAGGAAGGAGTAGAGAGATACAGGTCCCATAACCTCCCTATAAGTTGTTCAGGCCCAGGACTTTATGAGCTAGGCATAGCCACATGTTGCTCTGATACAGGACGGGAGATTCGCAAGCTTGATCCAGACTATATAATTGTTGTCTATCTTGGACAAGCTGATAATGTTAGGACACGACTTCAGGAATATGGACGGGATGGTTCTCATTTGGACCATGGAAACTCAGTTGGTTTTCTTGATAAAAATAAAGGTGTTTATCTCCAAAGAGGACCTGGATTGTTTAAGGAGATATTCTCAAGAGGTTTTCCAATTGTATTTAGATGGGCTGCAGTAAGTATACCTTTCTTCTTCTTGAATATGGTCGCCATGTTCTGATGTTCAAGCTTAAAAACTAAATTTTAGGAGTATTGGTTCATGCACCATAAGTCTGCATAATTATAATTTTGCAAGGGAAAAACCAATCTACCTGTCTTGTCTGCATGACTCATGCTGTTAGTGTTTTTAATCTTTACTTTGTAATTTTGTTTATTATGCAAATGCATCATGTGTTTTAGGCTACTTCTTGAACATATGCTTCAAAGAGTCTAGGCAGGGGCTGTTACCAAGTGCAATGCTAAAATCTTTGGCTGACAAGCATGAGAAATTGGGTTTGAGTACGAGATTGACCACTTTGTGCTAAAATGCTTGAGTTTAGGTTTGTATCCAGCTGACCCCTCCCAAGACCTGATAGTCAGAACAAGCACTAGGTAATCACCTTCTTATACTGCAAGGAAAGATGTCTAGGCCTTGCTGATTACTAGATCTTAACAGTCTATGTTTGTAGGTCTTCTACTCCTTTAGGCGCAGAAGAGTGCAGGAAATAGGAATTCATCTAATTATACATGCACAATGCTCAACTTTCTTCTATCAGTTGATTGCATTAGATTGCAAAAGAATTCTCCTACGGTTATACTCTTCTTTGGTTTCTTTTGATGAGAATGCATTATTGGACTCATTGTTACACTGTATCCAGGGGTGTACCCTTCGGTTCTGGGGGGGAGGGGGGAGGGGGGAGGGTTTAGAGAACCATTTCTAGGGCTTTAAAGCTTATGCTAAAGGTTTCTGTACACCAACTTTCCCAACAGAAAATTCCTATATCCGCCTCTGTAGCGTATTCGTAGGTTGAAATTTCTCAGTTGCCTTTACCTATGTCAGTTATTATTGGATAAGTGGCAAGGAAATATATCTTCTATTGCATAGACAATGAGGATATTTGGTATCAATGGTGCTTATCTAATAAACATTTTGTATGATTTTGTCTTGAAAATTGGGACAAAATCTGCTTTAAACGTTTTTTGAGACCTCAATGCCAGTAGGTGCCACTAGATGCCATTAGGTGCCATATAAGCTGAACAGTAAAAAACGCACTTGAAAGTGAAAAACATCATTTTTGGCGTTTTTCCAATAAATGGTTCTCACATAAATTGAGAGAAGACACGTCTACCAATTAAACAGCTCACTAAACATCATTTTTTGGCGTTTTTCTGTTAAACGCTCTGAAAAATACCATTGATACCAAACACCATCAATATGTAAATAGTGAAGTACTCTATTGTGCACCATTGATATCCTGGAAAAAGAATTACCTCTCTCTTGGCGGGAGAATTACATTAATTAAGGCCACGCTTGCTAACTTACCCATCTT